TGGGCTTCCCGCCTCCCTAAGGGGTGCAGAGACCCTCCGAGCGGCGAGGCGGCCGAAGCCTTCCGGCCCTGCCCGTGGGGTTTGGGGCAGGGTCACCCCCCCCGCCGCTGTCCCTGGCCCGCAAGGAAGAAGGCGCCCCCGCCCGCAAAGGGAGGCCGGGCGAGGGTCCCCGAGGGGGAGGGTTTGCTCCGGGGACGGAAACGGGAAGCCTTTTCAGGACGCAACAAACCGTTGGGCAGAGATCAAGATTAAAACCAAGCTCAAGCATGTCAGAGTTTAGTAAGTACAGCTTGCCTGAAAAGGGACATCGTCGCCTGGCCACCGAAGGAAGGGCCGCCGGGACCTTTGCTCGGGCGGAGGTGTTTCCGTGGCCCTCTTGGAAATGAACCCTTTGGGAGCCCTGGCCAAGGGAAGTCGCCCAGTGGGTTCTGGATCCCAGCACGGGCCCAGTGTTTTCGGTTGCCGGAGACACTAGTGTGATTACACTCTAGGTTAATGATCTGCCCGAGGGGCTGGCCAGCCGGGACTTCCAGTGCGGTGCACTGTGTCCAAACGCATTGTTTCTCAACCTGAGTGTGTTTGAGTTGAACAGCTCTCCTGTGCTGGCAATAGGGCTGGCCGCAGACATTTTGGCTCCCGGAGGCTCAGTCAGGACCGTTAGCTGCGGGAGTTGCCCTCGTCCAGGAAGCTGGCTGAGTTATTTTGCATGAGAGGTCAAAGGTCCCTCAAGTATTTCTTCCAGTCTCTAACGGTTTGTTGTTTAGTGTGTCCGACTCTTTGTGGCCCCATGGACCGGAGCACGCCAGGCCCTCCTCTCTTCCACTGCCTCCCAGAGTTGGGTCAATTCATGTTGGTGGCTTCCGTGACACTGTCTGACCATCTTGTCCTCTGTCGTCCCCTTCTCTTCTTGTCTTCACATTTCCCCAACATCAGAATCTTTTCCAGGGAGTCTTCTCTTCTCATGAGATGGCCAAAGTATTGGAGCCTCAGCTTCAAGATCTGTCCTTCCAGTGAGTACTCAGGGTTGATTTCCTTTAGAATTGATAGGTTTGTTCTCCTGGCAGTCCAGGGGGCTCTCAAGAGCCTCCTCCAGCACCACGATTCAAAGGCATCAGTTCTTTGGCGGTCAGCCTTCTTTATCGTCCAGCTCTCACTTCCATACATCACTACAGGAAAAACCATAGCTTTGACTATGCGGACTTTTGTTGGCCAGGTGATGTCTCTGCTTTTTAAGATGCTGTCAAGGTTTGTCATCGCTTTCCTCCCAAGAAGCAGGCGTCTTTTAATTTTGTGGCTGCTGTCACCATCTGCACTGATCATGGAGCCCAAGAAAGTAAAATCTGTCACTGCCTCCATCTCTTCCCCTTCTGTTTGCCAGGAGGTGATGGGGCCAGTGGCCATGATCATACCTTTTTTGATGTTGAGCTTCAGACCGGTACTGAGTGCAATTGCTGCCTGAGGCAGGGACTTTGCCTCATCCCAGGTCCAGCCATGGAGGAGAACAAGCTGCCAGTTGCATGACTAAGTGGAGGGCAGAGGCATTGCGGTTCACAGTAGGAATTCTCAGTCTGCCACAATTTGCTTGAGAAATAAGTGTGAGTTTCAGATCACAGGGCTTGAGAAACGGGGCTTCTTGCCTCTCTTGAAAGTAGCCCTGCCTGGACTTGCAGGCGGTTTCTCTTTTCAGAAGGATGTTGTTTCTGTTTTGCAGCCAGGTCCCCTGCCTCCTGCGGCTGCCCGGTCCTCGGAGGGCTCCAACCCGGACCCTCTGTTCAACCCCTTTCCCTTCCTCCTTTTCTCTGCTGCTTGTGGTGAGCACGGGTGTGTGCCCTTCTAGGGCTCAGGCTGCCTGAGGACCTCAGAGGCAGGGGCCAGAGAGTCTCCAAGAGAGGAGGCTGGGCCCTGGATTAGACGCGAGACTGGACAAAGGCATTCCTTAAAGGGCTACAAGGGCTTGATGGTCGCAGCAGGAGTTTGTCAGGCTTGCCACTGTGTGCCCGTCGGCCTCCTTCCACAGGACCATAGGGCTGGAGAACTGGTAGGCACGGAGGCAAACCCCTTTGTTTTGCTTTGTCGCTGGCCTTCCACCGGGAAGTGGATCTCTGACCTGGTTGTCTGCTCAGACATTCCGTTGCTCTTTGAAATACAGGGGGTTGTTTCAAGGTAGACACATCCGGGACTCATGTGAGCCAAATGACCCTGCATCTCAGGCCTAAATCCATCAACTGGTGGCTTAGAGTGTACTTTTAATTGGGGTGAGCATGTTGGAAATAGGTTTTTTTTAAAAGGTGACTGCATGACATACATGGAAATGTGGATTTTTTTTTTTTTGCCTGGGAGAAGTGTAGTTTTTGTTGTTATTGTTGTTGTTGTTGTTGTTGGAAAGTGGTATTTTACGCAGCTGTGAGCAGGTCATTTATTTTAAATTGCTTGTGAAAGCAATTTTTTTATTATTATTATTTCAGGATATGTGAAGGCCTCTGTCAGTATAAATTGTGTCTGTGGGGTTTGCCACTCACTGGTATGCTTTCCTTGCTCCTTCTCTACCTTGCCTCTGTGCATGGGTGCAGGCATGCACATGTCCCCCTCCATCACAACCCTAGTCAATGTCTATGGTTAGTTTCCCCTTCTGTCCCTTTGTTTGACTGTGTGTCTTTCTCTCTTTCACAACTCCAGTCAATGTCTGTGGTCAGTTTCAGCCCCAGCCCCCTGTCTCCCTCTCTTTCACTATTATTTTTCTTCCTTTCTTTTTTTTCTCTTTTAATAAGACAGCGTGAATGGCTTGCTGCTGCTCACTGACCTTTACGAAATGGAATTTAAACAGGCATCTGCTGGGCCAAGTGGTATTTCGTCCTTCCCTGTGATGTATCAGGTCAATAATTGCTGACTTGGATGGCTTTGCTGGCTTCTTTGTGGATTAAAAGGGGCAGCTCTGTGCCATCGGCACTGCCCTCCGATTTTCAGTGGTCCAAAGAAAGGTATCACCCCCTCTTCCTTTTGGGTCACCTCTGGGGACCATGCAGCCTTTTCCTTGCCCTCTCGCCAATGGGTGCATCTTTTACACAGCACGGCGTGATCCATGAGAGGACTCGGCCACCACCCTTGTCTGGTCAGGTGGTTTCTCCCTATAGCCAAGTTTAGATTCTTTTATGGAATACCAGTTTCCTTGGCCTGCCCCTAGAGCCTTCTTATATTTTTGCAAGGCCATTTTTACTGAGGTAGTTGAGTGGCTTGTGGTTTAATTTGAGACTGTGCTAACGGTGTGTGACTAATGATTGGAACTGGGTGCTAGGACTTGCACCCGTCAGTACGAAAACCGCTTGTACTTCCCAAATCTTAGCCTCTCCCTTTATTGTCTCTTTTCACCCTCCACCCCGTCCCATTATTCTGCTGCTCTTGTTTTGCTGCTCAGCCAAGTCAAAAGGCTCCATCCAGCCTGAATGGCCTTGCGGTGGATTCAGAACCGTAAAATCCCTCTCTAGAAAGCTGCTGCTCCTCTCCTGAAACGTCTCGTGGCTGTTTCCCTCTCTGGTCCGACCCCAGGCTCCCCCCATCCTTCTGTTTGCTTCCCAGTCACTCCAAGCCTTCTGGTGCATTGCTCCTGGTACTTTGCCAGGCTGAAGAAAAATGGCATCCAGCGGCAACGGGTGTCTGCTGTGGTTGGCAGGGGAGAAGGCACAGCAGCCAGTGGTGGGTGAAGCCAGAAGTGGCAGCTGAAGCCGGCGGGG